TATCTTATCTTATCTTATCTTATCTTATCTTATCTTATCTTATCTTATCTTATCTTATCTTATTTGCCTTATGTATATTTTCATTTGACATTTTGTGGCTAGTGTTACTTTTGTTTGCCAGGAGATGGCACTGTTATAAGTGCCACACCTTCATTGAAGACACCTGTTGGCTTGTTGATGTGAAGGCAAACAGTTTTTCTACCGTGTCATCTTATCACCTTGTAGTTCATGTAACCATTTTTTGTACACTTGTTTTTTTTTTTTTTTTTGCATTTTTGAATTAAATAAGATCAAGTGCTTGCTGGTATGGATCTTCGGTTCACGCATAGATAAGTTCATTTCACCCAACTAAACAGGACCAAACAACGTCTGTCCTTCAATTGTGCAGGGATCACCTGGCGARCCTGGAGAACAAGGCCCAAAAGGAGAAAAAGGAGCTCCGGTGAGTTATTTCCATGTTTATTAGAGCATGGTGTAAAAGGAGACCAAGACAAACACACAAACATTTTATGGTCCTGATTTTATTCAGCCGTCCTACACATTTATTGGTAACACTTTACAATAAAGATCCCCTTATAGATAGTTTATTGGTTATTAATTCATCTGTAAACACTTTATAAAGCATTWATAAGTGTTTATTATGCATTAATTAAGGATGAGAAAGAAACAAAAGTGTTTGATTTCTTGCCACATAGTGAGCCAAATCTGTTCATGTACATACATGTTAAGGGGGCCTTATAAATAATGCATGTTTTTACACAATACAATGACTTCCTTTGATAGTTATGTATAAGTTATGCAGAAATACAGTACAATATTATATGTAATATGTGTTTCCAATACATTATTGTACTTACAAAGTAGAAACCTGGTCTGAAATGTTTAATAAACACATTTAGATGTAATATGTACATGAGCAGATTTGGCTCACTATTTGGCAAGAAACTGGACTGTTTTGTCTCTTTCTCATCCTTAAATAATGTATTAATAATAAAGAACACTTATTAATGATTTATAATGTGTTCACAGATGAATTAATAACCTATCTATAAACTATAACTATATTATAACTATTTATAATTGGAGCCTTATTGTAAAGTGGTACCCATTTATTTATACATCTTTCTTAATAAGAAAGTATTTTAGTATTTTAATAAAACTTTCTTTCATCTGCACGTGACAAAGCTAACCATTTTTTATGTCTGTGTTTTAGGGCTCTGCAGGAAAAAAAGGAGCGCGAGGTCTGAGCGGGGCCCCTGGCACTGAAGTGAGTCAAACCAAACATCTTCCTGCAGTGCGAGGCGCAGTCTGCAGAAATCCACAAAATGTTTCATGTTTGCAAACAGGATTTCAACACTTGGCTTCTGTGCATCAATGTTCACATACCTCTGAGCACTTGAGTCAAAACTGGACACGTGTAGAAACAAAACAGAGTTTATAAAGGAACTGGTAACGAGTGAAAATGGTTTAATTAATGGTTTATTTTCTAGGGCCCAACCGGTTTACCAGGACTGAGGGGACCGAAGGGTTTCCCAGGACCAGATGGTCCTCCAGGACTGATGGGTCTACAAGGTCTACCAGGAAAACCAGGACGGCAGGTAATCAGTGGCATTATAAATATTTATTATCACCACTGTATCATTAAAAAAAACCTTCTGCTTGTTCAGCTGTCAAGTTATATAAATGCTATCCATCGCATCTATTTTCCCTGATATCCAACGCTAAAAAAGTGGGWAGATTAGTGCTTCATTTGAACTGAGTTTTGGGGAAATTGCTGCATTTGAAATGAAGTATGTCTTTTTTTTTTATCTGTATTACTATTTTTTGGTATTTTACTGCCAGTTATTGTTCTAATCATTTTTACTAAATTTTAGTTTTATTTTAATTTAACATTTTTTGTTTGTTTTATCCTTAGCTACATGTGAAGTGAGCTGAGGTTCTTGTAGCTAAATGTGTAAATAAACTTTGACTTGAACCAGATACAACTAGTTATTTACATGCATGTTTTCTCTTAGTTCCAGTTTCATTTTAAAACAGTTTATCTTGCTAATAAATATTTACCACATTTTCCTACTTGCATGCCTCAGATTTATGCTCTGATCTGTTGATTTAATTCAATTTCAATTTTTTTTCAATTCAAAAATCTATTCATTTCATTAAAAAATACTATATACAATAAAAAAAAACAAAAAAATTTACAAATCAAAATAAAATGAAAGGTAGCAGAAGAANATGAAAGGTAGCAGAAGAATAAATCTTATTATGTCTGCCCCTTTTCGACCCAGAATACATTCAAACGAAACATAATTTACAAAACAGTACAAAATAACATAAAATTTATTTTTAGATTTAGAAACTTAATCTAGTTTAAGTCTCAGCCTGAGTTCRTGCAATATTAAAACGCCTTGTTTGATTTGACTGGCCTCTCCTGTCTGCAGCCCTGTGTGTTTATTWTAAGTGTGCAGCATGTGTGGTCTTTATCACAGCATCTGTTATTACCTAATGTAAGAAAATCTTTTTATTTWAGTTTTAGCCAAACTAGATTAAAAAAAAAATCTATTGAATCCAATGCCGGTWTTTTGATTGCATTGAAGAGGATAACATGTATTTTAGGTTTTGTTTTTCAGTTTCTCTTCAACAGAGGTTCTCAAATTGAGGTCCAAGGATCCTCGGGGTCCACAAGCTGTAGCTTGGAGGTCCTCAAAAATGATAATAAACTTTTAGTTTTGTTTTTTTGTTTTAAAAACTCCACTAACACATTTGGGGAACAATGTACCAGTAAAACAAACATACTCATCCAAACAAAWAATAATCAAATATTTCTATGGCAKTTAGGGGTTAAAATGGCAATAAATAATTTTTAAATCAGCATGAGTTTACCAAGGAATCCCTGAAAATTTTCTTACCCGGTCCTCAGATCCAGTCAGTTTGAGGAAGCCTGTTTTATAACATTTTCAGGATGATTTCATGCTGTACCACTGCTTAACAGRTGGTGGCATTAATGTTCTAAAAAATGTCGTTGTGCTGCAATAAAGGCTGCAAAATTTACTCGCTGAAAACGTTGGGTGCAAATATTCCAAGCAAACTCTTTAAAAAAACAAGTTAGAGCAGGAAATTTATATCAGACATGCTTGAATAATGCAARTCTACTTGGTGTCATTTGGTTTATTGATTTATGTTTGCTCACAACTTGAGAACTKTAAACAAGATTTTACTGAAGAAAAACAAAAGAGTTCACCACCTCTTTCACATCTTCAGGGTCAGCGAGGTTTGGTGGGTCAGGAGGGACTTGCTGCGATGCCGGGTCCCAGGGGAGAAACTGGACTTCCTGGAGCACCTGGAGAAATAGGGCCACCYGGTCAAAAGGTGAAATAATAATAATATTCAAAAACACCTAAAGAGTTTAAAACATTTCTGTGTATAAAATCATATTTTGCTAGTTTTACTAACAGTTTAATCAAAAAGTGTCTGTTGTTTCAGGGAGAACCTGGCCTGCCAGGTGACAGAGGACCTGCTGGAATGAAAGGAATGGAGGGTGCTACGGGTGACCAGGGCAGGAAAGGTGACCCTGGACCTAAAGGACAAGCAGTGAGTGCAGAGGAGTGTTTGTTGATAAAAACAAAAATCCAAAAAGTAGAAACTAATGTTGCGTCCAGGACCTAGAACAGTTTATTTTAAGAGTGCGGTGATGCCTGAAACTCTTTGTGCTTTCACAAAAAGGCAACATTTAGGGTAYTTCATGGACGACAGAAACTTATAAAAACAATCTAAAAAGGATTTTATAACAAGTACACTGCAGGGGAGTAAGAATCAGTGAACTSGCAAATATTAAATGACACCAAGCCAAATCTATCAAATAAATAATAGACAGGAAAGTGGAGAAATGTGCACACTATGGCCTGACCTTAGCCTATAGAGCAGGGGTGCCCAAACATTTTCCCTGAGAGGGCCRAGATTAAAAYCAATCTGWGGGTGGTGGGYCAAATGCAATAATATAATACACGAAATGCAAATACTTCAAGKAAAGTTGTGTTTTTTATCATTAAKCTAGCAGCCAGTGCGGTTGCCCACATTTCCTTGTTTGTTTGTTTTTTCAGCCCACGGACATGGAGAAAATTCAACGTATGCTAGGGCAGCAAAGGCTCATGGGACTTTTCTTAATTTAAAATTTGAGCATATGTGGTCTTATAAGGTGTGCAAATCTAGATATGGACTTAAATCTAATATAAATGTATCTTGAAGTTACTTGTATTTTAAGTTTAATTTTAACATAATTCAAAGATAAAGTGAGCACCATAAGTTAAGACTATCTGACTACAGCTCCTTATATCTATAGTTGGACCAATGTTTGAAAAATACTAAGTGCAAATAAAGTATTTCTACATAAGACAGGAGATTACAATCAAGTAACCAGGATAACTGCTGGTGGGCCAAATCAAATGGCTTGGCGGGCCAAATTTGGCCCACGGGCCCCACTTTGGTCACCTCTGCTATGGAGAAAACCAACTGATTTAAAGGTAACGCTATCCAAGGAGTAAAACAAAAGCTTGTTACAAATCAAGACTGGTTTATAAAATATAACTAAATGCAGGACAGAAGCCTACAAAAAAATAATAATAAAATAAAAGAAACCTGACCTAAACTAACAAAAACAGTGAAATAATCCATTAAACACRCCAACATGGTTAAACTGACACCATCCTTGGAATGTTTTTTTTAAACAGAATTTCTTTAAACTGTTTTCTCAAACAGCTTCAGGGTTTTTACAGCTGATCTGGGTTTTAGTTAAAATTATGTGTTTGATGCGTTTCTGCCCCCGAGTCGAGCCACAAATGATTCGGGTGAGATCTGAAATGGAAGCATTCTGCCCGAGAGAGGCCAAGTTATGTAAGACCAGCTCACTTCAACATRCTAAAAAGAGGCACTCCACCTTACTTATGTAATGCGAAAAATAAAACAAAACAAAACAAAAAGGGCGGGGGTGTAAAAAAAAAAAGAACATTCAATCCCTCGCTCTCCCCTTCCTCCCCGACACTTTTCAAACAGAGAAGAGACTCATCCCCCACCGGGTCAGATCGCTTTACACTGTCAGTGAATAGTTTCCCAGCCAAAGACGCTGGTTTGAAAGCGGAGCTGTCTAAAAGGACGTGRAAGACTGGCTGCGCAAAGACACTGTCTGCACACCTGCACGACACACAGACGCAGAACAGGACGCAGACATTCCTCTCTGTGTGTCTTGGAACTCATGTGAACGTGTGCTGGAGCTACTGTAGACCCAGAAATAAAACTTTCAAAAAATACACGAGCACGTATAGGGGGGATATGTAGCAGTAACTTGGAGTGGAATGTAATGCTCCAAACTCTGGCCATCACATGACTCTGCCCATGTT